TTTTGGGGGTTTTGATGTTATTAAATTGTTATCTTTTTTATTTTATGTTCTAATTATCAGATAGAAATATAATTGATTGTTATATACCATCCTTAAAGCCAGTGGTCTTGCTAAATTCATTTATTAATTCAGATAGTTTATCTGAAGATATCTATGGACTTTTTACATATATGATTATGTCACGTGCAAATAATGACAGTTTTCCCCCATCCAGTCATTATATTTTTTGTCTACTTTTTTCTTGACTTAACACATGGACTGGGACTTTCTAGACAGTGTTAAGTAGAAATGGTGGCAGTCGATATTTTTCCTTGCTCCCTATCTTGGAAGCAAAGTACATGATATCTCACCGTTACACAGGATGTGTGCTTAAGTTTTGTGCTTTTGCTAATTTGTTTTAGTTTTTGTTTTTTTAGATAATGAAATTGCCTTTTATTCCTATTTCACTGAGAGTTGTATCTTTAATTATGAGTGCATCTGGAATTTTATTGAATACTGTTCTGCATCTTTTGAGATGATGATGTGTTTTTCCTTATTCTGTTGATGAGGTGATTATGTCAATGGGTTTTCAAGTGTTAAACCAACCTTGCAGAGCTGGATGAAGCCACACTTGATCGTATCTGTACTGGAACCATTGAATCCAATTGGCTGATTTTGGGGCTGGGGATTTAGCTCAGCGGCACAGTGCCTACCTGGCAAGTGCAAGGTCGTGAGTTCCATTGCTGGTACCGGAAAACAAACAAACAAACAAAAAAAAAAAACCAACCAATTGGCTGGTTTGTTTAGAATATCTACATCTATGTTTATAGGAGAAAATGACCTTGATTTTTCTTTTTTGAAATATCCTCATCAGACTTTGATATCAAGGTTTTACTGCCTCATAGCAATCCTCTAAGAAAACCTGTATAAAAAATTAATACTCTGTCCTTAGATGTTTGGAAGAACTTACTGGTGAAGTCATCTAGACTTTGAATTCTCTTTATGGGAAGATCATTAAAATTCCAAGTCTAATTTAATGAATATTGGAAAATTAGTATTTTTATTTCTTCTGTTTTATTTTATATATTGTGGTTTTTGATGACTTATCTATGTTATCAAATTATTTTGTTCATATTGTCTGGTGAATAGATTGTTTAAATATCTCTAGATCCATAGTGCTGTTCAATTTGTAATTCCTGACACATGATTTGTGACCCTCTTCTTCCCTCAATCTTGTTAAATGTTTATTAATTTTATTTGTTTCTCTGGAAAATGAAATTTTGGCATTATGGATTTCCCTTAATGTACTGTTATTTTTTTTTATTTCATCAACTTATGCTTTTATTATCTCTTTCCTCTTACTATCTTTGGATTTACATTTGATCTTTTTTTTTACTTTGAGCTGTATTTTAGACAGCCCCTCTGTTCTCTAGTAAATGCATTTAAAGCTATAACTTTTCCTCCATGCACATATTTCATCATACCTCAAACACTTATTTAGCCATAACTTTTGATATGTAACATTTTTATTATTATTCAATTAAAGTTATTTTCTGATTCATATCAGAATTTTTCTTTGACTCTTGGGTTATTTAGATTGTTTAATTTCTAAAAATTTGTGGATTTCATAAGTATCTACTGCATGTATATGCATATCTATATATGTATGCATATATATGTATATATGTATAAAATTTATTTCTACTTTAATTTCACTATGGTCACAGAATATATGAAACATGATTTTATTTATGAAGTTTGTAGGGACCTGTTTCTCAAGCCTTGCATTTGTTCTCCTGCTAAGTGCTCTACATGCACCTAGAAAGCGAACTTGATCTTCATTGTGTGGGGCACTGTTCTGTACATGTCAGCTCAGGTTGCTACCCAAGTTGTTCACATTTGTCTCTGCTGATGCTCTGACTGCTTCTCTATTGGATGAGATGTTCAATTATCCCACTGTGGTCATATATTTTCCCTTTTGCCAGTTTGCTTTATATGTTTTAAGATTATATTTGTAGGTGCATAAAGATTTAGAATTGATTTTCAGCTGAACTGACACTTCTGTAGTTATGAAATATTCTTCTTTATTGCTACTAATATTTAAAGTCTATTTTGTCTGATATTAGTTTACCTATACCCATTTTCATTTGGCTAGAACATGATACATATTTATCTGTCCTTTTATTATCAAACTTTCTATATTTTTATATCTTAAGGTGGATTTATACAGTAGTTATTAATCCCATCTGGCAACATTGATCCTTTAATTGGAATATTAATCCATTTGTAATACATGTAATCTATCATCTTGTATTTCTTTTTTTCATTCATTTTATCTCTTCCTATAATGCTATTTTCTCTCCATGCTCCAGGCTGGCTATTTTCTCCCATTGCTCCCAGGTTTTCTTTCCTAGTATGTTGTTTCCACCTGCAAATTCCGCCTATTACCTTAATTTCTATTATAGCTCTTTTCTGGTCTGGAAGTTCCATTTTGCTCTTTGTACATAGCTTTTATCTCTCTGGAGAAACTCCTCATCGTTATTCTATTTTCTTGAACCTATTTATCATGTCATTTTAAAGTTCTCATATAGGGCTGGGGATTTAGCTCAGCGGCAAAAGCGCCTGCCTGGCAAGCGCAAGGTCGTGAGTTCGGTTCCCGGTACCGGAGAAAAACCAAAA